CCTCCGGTTTCCTCTCCCACTGCTTAAGACCCTAGGCCTAAGCGCAAGCGAATTATTGAAATAAAACTGAACCATATGTTAGTCTCGAAATGACCTAGCTTGTGTCCAGTGGACGTTAAACCCCTCTCTCTCTCTCTCTGTCTCTGTCTCTCTCTCTCGCTCGCTATCGAACTTTCTCTTTTGAAGTACCTTTTAAAATTTTACGGTCAATTAATTAGGAAACTTACTTTATTTTTCTTGGTAATAAAATATTGCCTGATGGAAGTGGCTGTTCCCAAGTCGTTGCATCCACAAAGTGGAATAACCTTCAAACCTCACCAGAAGTCTGACACGCAGTCAGTTTAAATCTCAATAAAAAACATCTGTTTCAATTATTAGACAACTGTTTATGTATTTGTCACGAGCACGTTTTATGGATTTAGCGATTTATTAATGACATATTATTGTCATTATTATTAACTTTTTTTTATATCTTCCAGTCAGTTCTAACCGATCTTCATGGCAGAAGAAACTACGGAATCATTCTTTGATGTAATGTACCATGCAAATGAGCCTTATCTACAAAAATTTCGTGAGGAATCTATTGTGTTTATGACGAAAGCCTTGCGCCATGTGGCCGATGAACTGCATGGTAGATATGTTCAAACACCATACAAAGACTTAATTCTTGTATTTATCCAGTCGGTCATTCAATGTGGAAAATAACGTCTTAAATTCAAGTAATAAAGTGCAGCACTCGAATGACCAGGGAGAAACAGTGTTTTGAATACATTGTAAATAGTTTTAGCGGAATCAGAACTAGTACTATTTGAATTGAAGCTGAACTGAACACCTTATAACACCTGTTCTTTCAAAATTACATTGGCTCCCTGTGAGAAGACGGATTATCTTCAAAATCTTACTCGAATGTTTCGAGAAAGCGTAATACATACACAGGACTAATGAAAGGAATGCTCAAACGCCATGAATCCACCCGAGGATTACGCTCTTCTTAAACAATACAGCTTTTGCATTTGCATGTTGCATTTGCAGCACCATATCTCTGGAACCAGTTACGGATTAAAATTAGACAATCCCAATCAATCGAAACATTTAACACTGCATTGAAAACCTATCATTTTTAAAAATAGTTTTATGCGAGCAAACAAGAAAATACCCGTGTGGTATTATTATTCGTCTATAATAATGAAACTGTATAACCCGTATAATTGACAAGGTGTAGATGCTGCTAAATTGTTTATACTTTTATTGAAACCAGAACTTGTTCAGGTGTTGATCTATCGAATGTCCACAAACGCCAATAGTGTATTCTTATAACCCATTTGATGGGTTTCTTTAAACATGCATTATGCAAGAGCAAAATCTGCTTATTACAAGTCTTTCTTTAGGCCTGAAATGTTATCTAAAATATCAATTAGACATTAATTAACTTATCCAGACCATAATAAACTCTCGATGTCAAGGCTAGCCTTCGATGTTGGCTGGATTACGCTTAACAGCCAGTGATAATTAAATCAAAACAGTGGATAATCGAGACTATGCTGTATATTAATGGATCAATTTGACTGAAATTTTCAGCAAATTACCTTTACACTATCTAGTTTTTAACTATTATAGCGAGAACTGCCATCTCTTTATCTTATCTCCCATAATGAATTAGGGGCCTAGCCTCGATCATCATTACTAAAGTCGGTACGATAAAAAACATAGTTTCGATTATCCATTTTTGGTTTAACCAGCAGCAGTAGATTGGGTTCTAATAAAGTAATATCGCAGACTACCGATGGCATCAAGAGTTGCTTTTGGTCTGGATAAGTTAATTAATGTGGTTCGTTAGATTAGACCTAATAGCGATATCCATAAATACTGTTTGGCAAACCCTAAACATTTTATACAGTTTTCTTCATTATAGGTGATCACCCGAAAAGGTGGAAACGGTCATTAATACACATTAGCTTGGACATGGGCCTTTCTGTTGTTTTTAATTATATTTTATACCCACATCTTACTCGTCCATTCCTAACCCCGACACCAATTCAGATATAATATAGTGTATTTTATTAGAAATAAAGTTAAATAAATAACAAATAAATAAATATAATGTTGTCCTTGTGCTGAAATAGATCACGGCTAAATCGTCTGCATGTCATGTTATTGTTTATACATCCCAGTGTGTGATACAGCTGTGGGCGTACTGGAAACTACAGTCTTAAAAACACCACTCTCTAACATCCAGAACGCAAGTAAAGAGTTGAGAAGAGTAAAAAAAGAACACGCACACCGCCCACACGGTCTACGTGAAACATTTCATCAAATATGGCGGGTTGGGTTATCCAAACGTACTTCAAAGCAGTATCGTGCACGAGTCGCGATGAGCTTTTTAATAACATCGTCTGATAGAGTCGTCTTGTCCTATGATCAGAACTTGTGAAACAGATTCACTGCGGGAACAGTTAATTTGTTTCCAACCAAACCCTTTTATTCTTTCTGGATATAAAACTGTATAAAAGAATACCTAGAAATTAATTATAAAAGACAAAATTAGCTTTATATTTAAATATGCCTTCCCACGTACAAATTACGTGATTTGGTTATATATTTGAACTACAAAAAGATTCAAACTATGTACCTATCGAACTATCAAACGTTTGCTTCAAATCCTTCTCAAAACATTTTATTTTAAATAAAATTGTTTGTCACGATTCTTTATTTGCGGGGGGGGGGGCATTTTAAGCTTGTACAATTTTTGTTGTTAACTGTTGCCATTTACCAAAAAAATCGAAGCTTAAATAATTTGCTTAGCTTATCCTCTGCCGATAGCCCGTTAGTGACCCCTCTTACATTTTCGTCTCGTGCCCGCCCCGTGGGTGTTTATCAGGAAATCCAGTATGTTTCTAGTAAGATTTGGGTGTCTACTTTTACTTTCCATGTATACCAAATTTGCCATACTTTTACTGGAAATAACTATCCGATAAATACTCTCATGGGAGTGTGTCTTCAAAACATATTTTGCCGCCATTGTGGAGTGGACGTTAAACTATCATTTACCAAGCATTCGATGTAAAAATTAAATATGTTGTCCCGAGCTGATCATAATCCGTAATAGTGAGTTGCCTGTATTACATAAAGGAATATTATAAAAAAAATAATATGGTCGTAGTCTTTTACAATATGGCCGTGTTGGTCGTCAAAGATGCATTATATGTAAGATTTAGATAAAGAGATGACCATTCAAAAATATCTAGTTTCAAAATAGATAATACAATTATGAATATATTGAAAATGATTTTATTCTGAGTACTGGGAGGCGAAGCTTATATTGTTTATTATCGTAGCAATTGTACTGGACAAACGTAAGTAAGTCGTGATTATCCATTGTATCGGTAACTTTTTAAACCTCGCAGATGTTTTAATCCATTTAAATCTCTGCCCTCCGATGCTATAGAGAGTCATTTTTAGTTGGCATGTTAATAATAGTCTAAATAATAGTGTATATAACATTTGAAGCCAAAAGAAAGACCGACAAATGGCAGATTTAGCTCTTACATAATAGTAAGTTCAGGAGTACTGCACCTCACAAAATTTACATAATTCAAAAAAAGTAAATGGATCCGGGGGCTAGCCGTAAGCGTCCACTGCGCTGTACAGTCCCGGGTCTGTAGTGACATCGTTCAATTTGATTTCACTGTAGTAATTCTATGCTTGGGGGTGGGTGAGTTATAATGGAATTCTAGATCAAGTACCTGTGAAGCCCATAGCCATGTAGTACAGAGATCCCATTGAATCACTCAATATCACCAACATTAACACATCCAGTAGTATATTAGCAGTTGGTAGGAAAGGAACCAGTGGCATCTGTAATAAATAATCCAGGAGAAATACATTATCATTAAGTAATATATTGAAACAATAGTTACGAGTTGTTGTTTCAATATATTACGCAATGTCTTAAGCTTGAGACCATTAAACAACTTAAAATACAGACACTCACACGTGCTTTGCAATGAAATACGTCACACTGGTCCAAAATTTAACTAGTATAAATAATGTACGCTTGGCATATTGCAGTAATGGTGCGCCAACATCAAAGAATGGAGTCACACCGGTTTTTTAAGTGTACTTTAATGGTCGAGTGTCCTGCAACACTGACAAGAGGGAATTATGCCGGAAAATCCCGATGAACTTTCACGGTCAATGAAAGGATAGGAAACGCAACCTTTAGGTTAGTGAACCAACGCCATGCTCACTAAGCCACCGTGGTTCCCAGGTTTTCAAAGGAGAATGGGATAATCGGATGAAGAATAAAGACATCTCAACTCACTACGGTTCAACTCCTTGAAAGGATATAGTTACCTTCATTTCAGGAAATACGTCATCTGATTTCATTTTGTGCATTGTTACCATTGAGTATACAAGAGCTAGTCCACACAACACCGGAGCAATTGAATCGGTAAATCTAATGCTGGTTTGTTTCATAGCGATCAGTATAATAGTCACAGCTAAAAACACACAACTTACTAAGATAACTAACAATACAAACACAGTACTCCACTTTCGCAGCTTTTCGTCGTGCAATCCTGGGTATTCCGTATACTGATCTCGATCTCGAAAGTCCTCATGTACGATTTCCCTTCTATTGATTTCCTTCTCATTTTCTAAATAACTAGTGATATCTAGTGCTGGACTGGACGTCAACTGACCAACGAAGCTTGAAATGTGGTGCTCTACGTTCAGGTCAGATATCTCCCCCAGATGTCGAGATGGATTACCGCTGTCTTCGTATATTTCTTGTTCCACGATGTCCTGATCGTTGCTGGAGCTTATTATTGAAGTCGTTCCCAAAAATGCGATATCTTCGCAAATACTATTTTCATCGGATGATTTCGTCTGTACAGTTTCTCCATCACCGGTTAAATCAGTGCCATGCTTTACACTGGTATTTGAAACCAATGAAGTCCAGAATGACGTCTTCAGCGGTGGGTGGCACCGTACATAAAGTACTAAGAAGTTTGCTACAATCGAATTAACAAAAATTACAGTATTTGTAAAGGATATTAAAAATTTAACTTTAAAGGCTGATGAAAACAATACACAAGACACTCCGCACACAATTAAACTCACCACGGGAGTTTTATTTTCTGTATAAACCCTCTGCAAAACATTTACCAGAAGACCATTTCTGGCCATAGAGAATACCAATCGGGAGAGACCATAAATACACAATAGGTTCACCTGAATTAACCCAGTAATAACACCCACAACCATGAACTTCTTTGTCCATTCTGATTTAGCATAATGAATGGCTGTTACTAAGGGCGCTTCTGTTTCGAGCAACCAATATGGTTCTATCAATAAAACGGCAACGGTGACACCAACGTACAGGAAAATGACAAATACAACTACGATACCAATTGCGATCGGCACCGATCGTTTTGGATTCTTTGCTTCTTCGCTCGAAAAACACACAGTAACGAATCCAGTATAAGCAAAGTAGCAGATTGCTGCTCCATGAATAATTCCAGTAAATCCGAAAGGAATCAAAGAGTCGTGTTCAGCGTCTTTCAAGTTTCGGACATCCCCATTTCGAAACCCAGTTACTGTTAAAATAATTAAAGACGTAACGGAAACCACTGATGTAAGTGTTGAAAGTTTCGCCACTATGGCTGTACCAGACATTATAATCATAGTTGAAACAATGATCACTAATGAGGCCGGGATATCAATAATATTACTGAATAGGACATCTCTAAAGTATTCGGTGCTGTTCAGTCGGTTGATGGAGTCATTGAATATCATTGCTTCGATGTATGAACTAAAGGTTTGAGCACCCAGAGAAACGGCTGCTACATTTCCTGAAACAGATATGAAATAAAATGAAATGAGGTTTAACGTCCTACTGTTCTGCGCCGATTGGGCTTATGAAGACGGGCATACGCCAAACAATGTGCTATGACGGAATTTTTTGCCCAGACAGCAGCACTACGACTTACTCTTATATAGAATTCAATATGTTAAGTACACGGGACCGAACGACTATATGTTATCCCTTGTTAGGTACTCCGTCCTGCACCACTGACAAGGGGAAACCACGCCAGAAAATCATGATGAATAACTTTCTCGGCAAACGGTACCTCCAGGTTCGCGATCTAACGTCATACTCACCAAGCCACCGCGGCTCCCTTCCTGAAACAACAAACAGGTGTTATAAACCCACACTACATTTAATGGTTTTCGTATCCATTTGTTAAAATCTATCAAAATATGAATTTTCACGTTGACATTTATCAACAAACTAAACATTTGGCACAATTGGGTTAATGAGCTCACATAACCTTTCCCTGCCAATCTACGGAGAGAGAGAGAGAGAGAGAGGTTAACGTCCACTGGACAAAACTAGGTCATTTGGGGACTAACATATGGTTCTATTTTGTTTCGATAATTTTCATGTATATAGGGGTCTTAAGCAGTGTTGGGGGTGGGGGACCGGAGGACCTGGAGAAAACCGACAAGGTTGGACAGGCGACCCAACTCCTTGTCACGTACAACCGGGGAATCGAAATCACGCCAATAACAGATCTTATGATACAGCGCGCACACGCTAACCATTCGACCATCCATCCCTTCCCACCCCCGTCCTTTTAGAGATTCTAACAACAATCTTACCTAAAATACTTAGCCATCCAATCAGAAATCCAAAGCGAACTCCCCAGCACTGGTGTACATATGAGTATAGAGCTCCAGTTCCTGGGAACCGTGAAGAGAGTTCAGCATACGCCATTGAATTAGAAAGAGCAATCAGACCAGCAATGGTAAAAGAAATAATAACTGAAGGACCTAGAATTAGATGATACAATTGTGCATTTTATTATACCGACAATTACAATTAAACATGGCATTATATTAGTACGCATTTTGGAAATGGCAGTGATGTGATGTAGTACTGGTAATATTGAAGGAAGAACGAGATTTTCTATCAGATTGTTGGTTGTTTCAGCCCATTAACTCTTTGATTTAAGGAAACGTGACGGAAGGAGCTAGAATTAGACGATAACGGCAATTACACTGAAACATGGGTATAGACATTTATTAAGCATGTGCACATATTGGAAATGGTACTGGTAATATTCTATCAAAGTGTTGATTGTTTCGGCTCACTAACTCCTTGAATTAAACAAACGTGATGGAAGCGGACATAGTACAGTACAACAGTATCCTAAAGACACGGCTCATTTTTCTTACCAGCGTATTCTTTAGCTACAATTCCAATAACCATGTAAATACCACTTCCAACCGTTGATGATATTCCTAGAACTATCAACATCCATAGTGTAAGTTGTGGTTTTAATTCAGGTTTAACTTCCAGGTTGCTACTTCTGGACATTGTCGTATCTGAGACATAAAACAACCCTACATAATTAAAACAAAATGAAATCAGGTTAACGCCCAACTGTTCTACTCGGACATGGCTAATAACGACGGGCATACAGTGGACTATTAGGGAAATTTTTTCCGGACAGCGGCGATGCGGTTACTCTTAGTATATCGAATTGCAACTGCCAAAGGTTCTTTGTGTGGCACATCAATGTGTACAAGTGACTTCCCTCGGTTTTTCATTCCATTTGAATGACTATACGTTGTCCCTTGTCGGGACCTATGCCCTGCACCATAAAAAATTTATAATGCCGTTTCAGAGAACCATTTGTGCAAACAAATATCATTTATTTACCATATAATTCCAATGAAATTATGAAGTTTAACATCCTACTTTTCGACACCATCGGAACTATAATAATTGCCATTTTATTCGAACAGCGACGTTTCCGTCTACACTTCATCGAATTACAACTTTAACCAGAAACTTTCTGTGTCAACTTTAACCAGAAACGTCTTGTGCCGACTTTTACCAACCAGGAACTTTTTGTGCCAACTTTAACCAGGAACTTTCTGTGTCAACTTTAATCAGAAACATTCTGTGTTAAAATTTATAACCAACCAAGGACTTTCCATGTCAGGTTTTATAACCTATCAGGAACTTTCTGTGTTAACTTTAACCAGGAACTTTCTGTGTCAACTTTAACCAGGAACTTTCTGTGTCAACTTTAACCTATGAATAGTATGTGTCAACTTTAACCAGGAACTTTCTGTGTCAATTTCAACCAACAATGAACTTTCTGTGTCAACATTAACTAGGGACTTTCTGTGTCAACTTTAACCAGGAACTTTCCGTGTCAACTTTTATAACCAACCAGGAACGTTCTGCGTCAACTTTAACCAGGAACTTGCCGTGCCAACTTTCATAACTAATAATGAACTTTCAATGTCAACTTTTATAACAAACCATGAACTTTCTGTGTCAACTTTTATAACCAAGTCAGAGGTGACCGACCAACTAGAGCTCGACGCATGACACTCTAGATCACTCGGCCATCCCACCTCTTCGTTGTATCTAGTCTTTTGACAATCATAAAATAACGTCCTAGATCCATTTCTGGCCCAGTCCCTTATGATTAGTGAGTCATCACCACACTCACTGATCCAGCGTGGTCCCCATATAGTTGTTGTTGTGTTCTTGCTGTTTAATGACCGCTTCAACAGAGGGCCTGACAAGGACAGCTGTCTAGTCGGTCGGATGGGACGAAAAACCGAGGTCCCTTGTACATATTAGCGTGCACGTAAACGATCCCTTGGCAGTTGAAATTCGATATAAGAGTAGGCCGTAGCGCCGCTGCCCGGGCAAAATTTCCCTCATAGCACACTTTATTAGCCCAGTTTAGGAGCAGAACAGTAGGACGTTAAACCCCATTTCATTTCATTTCATTTACCGCTTCCACAGATGATAATATCGCAGAATAGTTGTCTTATCTTTATTAACTTAGCGTACGCGATCGAAACGACCACAACAGGTCAGAGGTGACCAGCCAGCTAAAGCTCGAAGCGTGACCATATAGCCCACAAATTAGAAAGTCATTTTCTTGACCAGCACCCCCTGATTAGCTAGTCAGGTGAAAATAATATTTTACTCCAATAACAAAAAACATAACTTACTAAGATCCTTTAGTCGTTACTTCTTATTCTAGATGCCGAAATTAGAAAGTCATTTTCACGGTTAACTGTGTAAAATTTGAATGTTATAAAACATGTTTACGACACAATATAGTTAGAGTAACAGCTGACTCTCGCTATAAGATCGATGTTTGTCCTTATGTGGTCAACAAAAATAGGTAATTATTCAGATCTTTTCTTAAAGATACATTATTTAAGATTTATACAAAGAGCTAGCCATTCTTTCTATAATAGTTCGAAATAAATAATGTAAATAATTTGAACCACCGTACTGGTTGTTCGAAGCTAAGTCTCGCTCCTATTTTTTAGCTTAAATCAAAATTTGGCTTAACTGTTCAAATCTATTTAATATCGGAGAAATTAGATGCCATCGAGAGTTGATTATGGTCTGGATAAGTTAATTAATGTCTAATTAATAATTTAGATGATATTTCAGGCCTAAAGAAAGACCTGCAATAGGCAGATTTGGCTCTTGCATAATGTATGCTTAATTAAATGGGAGCAGTGGCGGCTCAGCAGAATAGAGGCTGGGACGCTAACCAGGAGGTCTCAAGTTCGCTCCCAGATTTGGCCGAAAAAGTTTCTCATTTTTCCGGTCTGGTTTCCCCTTGTCAGCGGTGCAGGATGGAGGGCCTCTCCATGTCTAGTTGTTCGGATGGGACGAAAAAGTCAGGTCTCGCATTCTCATTGGCGAGCACGTAAAGGAAATCTTGACGGTTGGAAGTTGATATAATAGTAAAACCTAGCTAAACCCCTTAATTTTTATTCTATGAAGTGAAACAAACGACAAAATTCTAACACTTAACCTAATAAATAGAGAATCTCCTACAAGTCTTTTTTGATATCAAAAAATATCAACAGAAATAGATAAAGTAACAAAAGACGAGGCTCCGCCGAGGTTTTTTTTTTACTTTATCAACGAGTGTTGATATTTTTGATATCAAAAAAGACGAGTAGGAGATTTTATTTACCACCCAATCCTTTCTTACGTGCACAAATAAATAAATATAATTCTTTGCTATAGACTTCACTTTTACTGAACCTGATTACATTACGGCGTAGTGATACATCATTTTTTGACAGAAATTCAACCATTGCAAAGTCCTTTATATTGACCCAGTGTTTCCATCAAAGTCAATTAAATAAAAATAATTCATTTTTAATAAAAAAAGGAGTTACCAAATGGGCACAAAACCAAACCCAATTTTAAATCTTCCTAGTGCAAAAACGGAAAATTTTACCTTTTAACCTCCGGGGTCACAAAGAACAAAGTTGAATTTAGCAAGTTTACATTTTTATTGAAAGGGTGATTACTTTCGATCTTTTTTAGCATGTTTTCATGATACAAGAATGGTTGCGCTTTCACTTTCAGTGCAAATGACCTCATTTAACCTTGACCCTGAACATCTCGACAACGCCCCAACGGCGGACTGATTACCACTCGGCAACGTATTCTACGCAAAATTTTACTATTGAAAACTTGGGTTTGGTTTTGTGTCCATTTGATGGACACCCCGCGCACTGAGCCTCCGATCTATAATAATGACACAAATGAAGATGCAAATTCTCAATTTGCTACCTTTTGACACCCTTTTAAGATTAGAAATAGAGCTAAATCAACTCTCGATGTCATCGCTAGCTTGTGATATTTACTGGATTTGAATCCGATCTGCTGCTCAACGCTCATTGATGATGAAATCCAAAAATGGATAATAACTATGTTTTTATCGTACCGACTTTAGTAATGCTGATCGAGGCTAGGTCTAAAATCGCTAAATTCTCGGTTCAGAGTGGATCCATTTAACTGAAATTTTCGGCAAATTCTCTTTACATTATCTAATTTTTAACTATTATAGTGGGAACTGCCAGCTCTTTATCTAATCTCCTATAATGCCCCATTAAGTAAAACATATTGTATAAGATTTACTACCGATAAAGATATCTTTATAGCTTTACTGCCTTATTATAATATCTAGCCTATCATCTGTAGATTTATATAGATATGACATTATATGAACTTCCTGATATTTGCAGTTAATGACGGTATCATTTTCACGTTTTGATTTAAACGTTTTCAAGGGTTTCTAGTTTTTTAATTATTCTTTATATAGCCTACCAAACTTGGAAGATATGTCAAGAATACACAATCCATTGGTTTTAGAATTAATTACCAGGGGACCAGCGGTTAAGTAGAAATGGAATTTAAGGTCCCGCTGTTGTACTCCGATTGAACCAACGAAATGAAATGAAATGGGGTTTAACGTCCTACTGTTCTGCTTCTAAACTGGGCTAATGAAGACGGGCATACGCCATACAGTGTGCTATGAGGGAAATGTTGCCCGGGCAGTGGCGTTACTGCTTACTCTTATATCGAATTCCAACTGCCAAGGGATCTTTTACGTGCACGCCAATCTGTACACGGGACCTCGGTTTTTCGTCCCACCCGAACGACTAGACAGGTGTCCTTGTCAGGCCCTCCGTCCTGCATCACTGACAAGGGGAAACCACGCCGGAAAATCTGGATGAACTTTCTCGGCCAATGCAGGGATCGAACACCCGACCTCCAGGCTAGCGAACCAGCGTCTTACCCACTTAGCCACGTGATCCCCCGACTGAGCCAACAGTGTGGAATGAGGGAAATGTTGTTGGACACCTATTCTAAATTGGAATTCTAACTGTCAACGGATCTTTTACGTTCACGTCAATGTGTGCACAATGTGTGGCGTATGCCCATTTTCATTATCCCGGTCAGAACAGAGCAGTAGGTAGGACGTTAAACCCCATTCAATCCATTTAATAATTGGTATAATAATGCTCAATATTACGCTATAGGGTATGGACGCAGAAACAAATAAATGTCAAAAATACACTGAGATAAATGCATATTATTGTGTTTAATGAACAATACTACGCAGTTAACATTTTAGCAATAATATATATCGGTTACATGAAATGATTCCATTCATGATGGCGAATATCACATGAAGCAGGCCAGTGAGCCCATACAATAATAATTAATTATAGGTGACATTTATATGATCAATTAATATGTAAAATGAAATTATCTTCATATTAACGTCTAAGTGAATGACTCCACTTATATGACTGTTTAATGTTCAAATATTTTTATAAATAGTAAGGTTTCTCCAATTTTCACATCTATCCATTTTTCTCGACAGCTGTTGTGATCGATTTGAAAATGTTGGCGAAGATTTTGTTTGTTCTTGGTTTACTTGCCGGTAAGTTTATTCGTATATTTCCGTAGGTGTATACTTCTGAACGTAGATGGTAATATATGCTATATCTGTCATTCAACTGATTAAAACACAGATCCTATTTCGCTTCGTTTTTTGTAGTTCAAAATTGCCTTTTACTTTACTACACTAGGCTATGAAAGAGTTGTTATATAACGTTCTGGTTGATGCAATGGATTAGCCAATGCAACGGTCCGTTACTGCGAGTTCTTGGCGTAAATTCCACGGAACTGTGGGTATTCCACTAGAAACATTAACGTTGATTAGTTAATTAAAAGCCATGCTTCATACGGTCAAAAGCCGCTCAATATGACCCCTGACACGACCTTCCTCTAGAACAAGTCAGATCTTCATGTATAAAAAAAAACCGAAACGAAATATACTGCTATATTAAAGATACAGTATGTAAGAGCTAAATCTGCAAGTTGAAGGTCATTTTTCTGGCTTCAAATCTTATACAAATTCTTCTTTAGAGATTTATTCAAATGGCAATCTCGTGATTTATATAGATTTAAAAATTTAACGATAAAATGGATAATTAAGACATCGTCTCGGTTAGTCCAGTACTGTTGCTATGAAAACAAACGTGCTAAACTACATCTTCATCTTCAAACAGCCATAACTTCGCCCAGAATAAAGTAATTTGAATGAAATTTTCAAAATATTAATTTTGAATTACCTATTTTTGAACTATTATAGCAAGAACGACCATCTCTATATCTAAATCTTACATAATGCATCTCTCTATTATAATATTTCCTTTAACCCCCCCCCCCATATATGCATGTTAGTCGTAATATAGTTTCACACTTGAATCAAACAAAATGTACATATTTTAATGGCCCTTTTCTCGATTTAATGGTACCAATACCCACGACAAAGTCCAATAATGCGGGAACACTTTTTTGTGGGCTATGATTTAATTTCATTACAGTGAAAATCCTGGAGACACCCCCCCCTCCCCCCTTGCCTTGGTGCCCTACATGCTTAGACTGGTTAATCCCTAATCGGGGACTGATCCTGTGACTGATTTTAATTTACGGTACAAATTCTTGTCTGTGGTGACAGAGTGATTCCCATTCGATTCAACATTTATAAAGTGCTATTTATATTTTTCTAATGCAGTAAGTAAAGGTCAACTCGATACTTGTCCAGATGGATCAGCAATCGCCCTTTGTTTCAGTAATCCATGTTTAACGGCTACTTGCTCTGCTTTTCCAGATGCAAAATGTGTGTAAGTTTATTTTTACTTCAGGGCTGGTTCTGTAATACACATGAAATGCATTACATTCCGCGAATGCATATGCATTCTGTGTAGTGAAGATAGAGGTACAAGCCGGGAATGCAATGAATTTTACTATCTCCTTCAACTAGCTTGGTCAGCTTAATAAACGCTTTCCTAATAGTACTATTGCTGGGAATTGTTCATATGTGGATACATATATCAAAATTGGCACAAATACTCCTTGGGAGCTGATCTTTCGAAAAGCTCAGTATCCATTAGAAAATCCAATATGGTTGCCATTTTCAAGATGGTCGACTTTCGGACAATTTGTAGACACCAATTTTCCTATTAAATTTATGAATATATAACATATTTTTTTCAAATTCATCTAAATCGGAAAAATATTTAGGGCTCTATGGTATCCACAAACTGTGTACAATTCACATTTTACCTCAAAGGCAAGGGCCATGATTCAAGAAGCTGTGGTCAGGTGCAGATCAAGGTCGTTCGATCCTCTCCACGAGGTCCGCAAACTTTGTATATAATTCACAGTTTGGTTTTGATGAAACATGGAAAATTGGGAGCACCTATATCACAAAATAAATTGTCTCTTTGCTACTGCATCAAATATATAGGCCTGTGCAGTGTGTATGTTCATTATTATGGTATGTTGTAACAAATGTAAAGATGTAATAGCAGCACTGAGCAGTATATCAACGTTGGTGTTCATATGCTATATACATTCATTGCCAAGTGGCTCTCGTTTGGAAAGCGACACCACTTATTATAATCACCAGGTTCCACTAGCCAAAACCTAACACAGGGATTGTCATAAAATACAGATGGCCAATTGTCGATCAACATGTAGTAAATGCGGCTAAGCAAGGGCATGCTGCAAATAGGAGGCCCGTGAGACAAAAAAGGACCACAGAGCTCACGTTGCATAAGTCCGAAAGGTCACTGGGCTGCTCCACAAAGGGGCTAATGTGGGTAACGGGGACTTACACGTGTACATTTCTATAGTATTTTTAAAGCATTAAAGCATTTTATCTGCAGGACTAACTTTTGTGGAAGCGAGGCCTGTAAGGCACAGTTCTTTGTGGACGACGAGCTAGTTAAATGTTAGCATTAATACATTGTAAGTATTTTTGTATTTTAAAGCATCGGAGAGAGAGAGAGAGAGAGAGAGAGAGAGAGAGAGAGAGAGAGGGGGTTTAACGTCCACTCGACACAAACTAGGTCATTTCGGGACTAACACAGGGTTCAATTTTATTTCAATAATTCGCTTGCGCGGGTCTTTAGCAGTGGGATGACACCGGGGGACCCGGAGAAAACCCACGAGGTTGGCCAGGCGACCCTACTCCTTGTCACGTACAACCGGGGAATCGAAACCCCGCCACATGAATCAATGACAGACTGTTTGATACAGAGCGTACGCGCTAACTATTCGGCCATCCCCCCACCCCCTAAAGCATCGGAAGCTGGCATTGTAACCCATATCAAATTAATTCAGAATTTTACATTTGACAAAGCACTAGATTATACTGCTCTTAATTCTTAACCGTTTTGAATTCTTTGTTAGTCTCGATTCTAAAAGTGCAAATTCATTAATGATTTTTACAATTGACAAACCGTTAAAGCTATTCTTTATTCAAAAAAAGTAGGGGATATTTGATTTTGGGGGCATAATACTAAAATATGCAAATGACTACGAAAAAAGTCACTATAGAACCTAACAGAAGAAACATTTCCAGTTACATGTGACGCCCAAACGCACCAATAGCTACCGCATGGAATGCAGGTGATGCTTGGGATCATCATGGGGGTCCAACCCAAGATTTGCACGACTCTGACTTTGAATGTTACAGTCATTGTGGCATTGAATTCCAGGGTGGAAACATCAGTTTAATTGTTTTAGTGACCAGAAAACAAATTTTGATATGCGTCGGCTTACCTAAAATGAAAGGTTACGTGCCCTTGGCATGCTACAGATCGGCACAACACAGGCGGTTGTGGCGCGGACGATGAATGTTTCTCAGTCTATCATAAGCAGGCTATGGTCCAGATACCGTGATACACAATCTGTACAGGACAGACCACGCTCAGGTCGACCAAGGGCGACAACTCAAGCCCAGGATCGATTTATCCGTACCTTGGCCTTGAGAAATCGTGTCATCACAGCAAATCAGATCAGCGCTCGTCTTCAAACAGACACTGGTGTGAGAGTGAGTGGCCAGACGATTCGGAATCGACTGCATAGGGGTCACCTTCGCGCCCGACGTCCTCGTGTGATCCCTTGTTTGAGAGATCATCACATTCAGGCAAGACGTCGTTGGTGTAGGGATCGTCAACACTGGGATAATCGACGCTGGAGCAATGTGATGTTTTCAGATGAGTCAAGGTTCACTGTTGATTTTTTGGACAGACGTAGGAGGGTGTGGCGTCGTCGAAACGAGCGCTTCCAAGACGTTAACGTCATCAGACATGATCGATTTGGGGGTGGTTCTGTTATGGTGTGGGGAGGCATCACTGTTGCTGGAAGAACGGCTTTACATGTTGTTGCAGGGCGTGTTACAGGCCAGTACTACCGGGACAACATCTTCGCAGTCCATGTTGTGCCGTTCGCACGACGTCATGGCCGCCGTTTCATCTTCCAGGATGACAACGCAAGATGTCACAGGGCCAGGATCGTTACAGAATACCTCCAACAACAGAACATCACCACATTACCTTGGCCAGCACCGAGTCCCGACCTCTCCCCCATAGAGCATGTCTGGGACATGCTTGGACAGAGGTTACGTCAACGTCAACAACGTCCTGCCAATGTCCAAGAACTTGCTGCTGCGTTGCAACAGGAATGGGACAATCTGGACCAAAATGACCTTAGACGTCTCATTAGGAGTATGCCACGTCGGATCAATGCTTGTTTGGCAAACAGAGGAGGATTTACCCGTTACTGACTTGGTTGTGATGCTGTGGTAACTTTGCTGTTTGACCCCGGGTATCATTTTACCCTTATAATGGTCAGTCTGTGCCTTACTTAGTCTAACGATCATTTGGAATAAATCGATGAATGTAAACTTCATTTCATTTTGTCATTTGTTTCTTCGTCAGTTTCATTAGGTGACTTTAATAACACTTAAAAATCAAATATCCCCTACTTTTTTTGAATAGTATAATTCTTGACTATTTCCAGTTTGCATAAATTCTAAAATTACAAATGTTTGTCATTATATTCTAAATTGGTTCTTAAAGGTGCATTATGTAAGATTTAGATACAGAGTTGATTGTTCTTGCTAGGGAGCCGTGATGGCTCACTGAGTAGGATGTTGACTCGCTATCCTGAAGGTCCCCTGTTCGGTCATTGCGTTGGCCTAGAAAGATTGTCGGAATTTTCCGGCGTGATTCCCCCTTGTCAGTGGTGTAGGACAGGGGGACTGGCAAGGTACAACGTATACTCGTTCGGATAGGACGAACAACCGGGGTCACATGTACACATTGGCAGTTGGAATTCGAAATAAGAGTAGGCCGTAGCGCCAATGTCCGAGCAAAATTTCCATCATAGCACACTGCATGGTGTATACCCGTCTTCATTATCCCAGTAGGATGTTAAACCATATTTCAGTTTCAGTTTACGTTCTTGCTCTAAGAGTTTCAAAATAGATAAATGTAATGCATCATGCAAATATTGAAAATTGAATTCCATTTACTTTATTCTGAGCACAGTTACCGTTGTTTGAGGTTTTGGCAAGATATGGCATACATTGTTTATTATTGCAGCAAAGACACTTGTTAATCGAGACCCAATTGCGATTCACCATTTTTTTTTAAAAAATAAATCATTAAAGGGCGATGGTAATCTAGATAGTTAATTATAGGATTGCCATGTGAATAAATGTTTTAATAATAATTTATATACACTGTTAGAAAAAATCTGGTAAATTTACATGAAAATTACTGGCAGCAAAAGTTGCCAGTAAATTTACTGTAAATAAACATTCAGCTGTAATATTACAGAGTTTCTGTAATTTGACTTTGTGAGTAAATTTACCTGAAAACAGTAAATGGAAAATAACATGAGTTTGTTTTTTAACTTTGGACTGTAAATTCACCGCAACACAGTAAATGAACGGTTACAGTAAGTTTGTTTTTTAACTTCCAAATGTAAATTTACCTAAAAGCAGTAAATGAAAAATTACAGACAAATGTTAAAAAAAACAACACAATGATTTTAACTTCCGTTTACCCCCCCCCCCCTCCTTTTGTTTTTAGTTAAACAACAATTTCACCGTAAGAGAAATAAAATCTCAATTGAATAAGAGGCTTGTTAATGTACTGTAAACATAAGACTAATACATCCTGTAAGGCAATCGGTTTAATTAACCGTCTTCAAGTAAGCTTGAATACGAGATAATACAACCTATGGCTAGAAAGTCAAAACATTTTTTTATACGTTTATGAACATACTTACAATGTGATTAACGTACGATGAATAATTATACACGTTGTAGATCGTATAAATAATGGAAATTAGATATATATATAACATGCAATATACCACATTTCACAAAATGTGATTGTCCATATTATGGTTAATAAATTAGAATGAATACTATAAGAAAATAATTATTAGGAATGGTTCGTTGCTATGGAATACTAAAATAAAATAAGAGACAGTAAATTTACCAATAAGTAAATCTACAAAATAATGTGAATAAACGTAAATCTGTAAAATTACCTACTGGCTTTGCTATTTTCATTTCAATATTGAAATATTACGCATGTATTTTTACCGGGGTTTAATGTGCCTTTGGTTTCATCAAAGTTTATTGTAAAAAAGAATGAAACTTGGTAAATATACACCATTTTGGTAAACATTCCGAACATTTTATGGTAAAAACAAATAATTTAATTGCTGTAAATTTACTTATATTTCTAACCCGAAAGTTTACAAAATAATGTGAGTAAACGTAAAATGTCTAAAATTGCATGTTAAGAGACAATAAATTTACCGAATACGATAACTACCAATAAATTAAACATACATTATGCAAGAGCTAAATCTGCCTATTGCAGGTCTTTTTTATAGGCCTGATATGTTCTATAAACTATGAATTGGACATTTATTAACATCTTATGTGTTGGATTTTCACTGGATTTGAGTCCGATCTGGGGCTCAACGCTCATTAATGATTAAATTCAAAAATGGATAATCAAGACTATGTTTTTTTTATCGTACTGACTTTAGTAATGATGATTGAGGCTAGGCGTAACATTCAGTCTCTAATATCTCGGTACAGAGTGGAGCAATTTGACAGAAATTTTCAGCATATTCCCTTTACATTATCTAGTTTTTAAGTATTATAGTGAGAACTGCTGTAATTTTATTTATATTTCTAACCTAAAAGTAAATTTACAAAAATAATGTGAATAAACGTAAGATCTGTAAAATTACATGCTTGCTTGTTTATTTTCAGTTCAGTTTGGAAATATTACATATGTAAGAATGTATTTTTACTGATTTTGAATGTGTCTTTGATTTCATCACCGTCTATTGTAAAAAAAACCACGAAACTCTGTAAACATACACGAAACTCCGTTAAAAGACGCCAGACTTGGTAAAACTACTATATTGTGGAGAATATACCGATAATTAAGGTACAAAAACTACTTGTACTACTGTAATTTTACAAAAATTTCTAACAGTGTAACATTTATCTAACAAATACCTACAACAATAGTCAGATTTAGCTCTTACATAATGCATCGTTAACTATTTTGAATTACGAGTTAGCACCAGTTCTAAAATTACAATTTTTTTCTTCGGTTTCAGTTGTTTATAATTAACCTATCTTATTACATTTTAATCAAATCTCTATACAAATATAATAATCTTGAATTAATTTTTTTTAAAAAATATTTCTTTTCTTTTCAGGTGACTCGATAACGATTAATTTATCAGGATTAAAAGAATATTCATTTCTAATCATTTTTTCGTCTAAATAAAGTAAATCCCCTTTTATAAATGTGTTTATTTCACAATATGAATATTATCTATGAATTTAAGTACCATATTATATGTATATATGATATAGTCCGGCGGAAAACCCCCCAGTTTAAGCCTTGACATGGATATATGGATTATATTCAAGATGGCCGCTATGAAGCGTTTTCTGGTTATTAAGTTGGGTAAAATTCGCGACAAATCCTCACGGACATCGGTTTGAAAGTGGTTTCTGGAAATATTCGGCCCGCGTGTCATATTGGCGTGTCATATATTGACATGGTTTTCGGGGTCGCCTATTTCAGATGTGAAAATATGTTTCGACCAATAGGTATTCGAATATAAACGCTATATTCAAAATAGCGGTCACATTTGACGAGATATTTCGAGGTTAGTAATGTGATGGCGTAATATGTTAAACTTTAGGTTTTCGGGGACGCCGAATTGATATCTGAACAGCTAAATGTGCTATGACCGAACCAAAACACCAATATGGTTCTCAGATTTGACACATTAGCTAAGTTTATGAATCAATGTTTTCCCAGGGGTTCGCAGGGATTAATTTGATACTAATGTGTGCTTATGAAGGCATGTACTGAGATATGCATTTAAGGCAGATTGGGCGTGACTTACTCAAAAGCGGGTTAATCCCCGTAATTGACTATTCACGAGGATTTATATTTTCCCAGGGGATAACAGGGAAGAGTTTGATATCCATTTTGTTCTTGCACTGAATGTATGCACTGAGATATGCATTTAAGATGGATTGGACGTGGCCGAAAAATGATGACCTTTAAATTGTCCTACTCAGAAGTGAGTTAATTCCAAAAATTGAAACTCATAAGGGTTCATATTATCCGGCGGGGTCCCAAGGAACAGTTTGATACCCATTTTGTGTTTGTACTAAGAAATACATTGAGCTATTCAGAAGAATTTATATTCTCATTGGAAACATTTTGACACAAGCTTCTTGGATGTATCCGGGAGCCACGGTGGCTAGGTGGGTAAGACGCTGGCTCGCTAGTCTGGAGGTCGGGTGTTCCTCGATCCTTGCATTGGCCGAGAAAGTTCATCTGGATTTTCCGACGTGGTATTCCCTTGTGAGTGGTGCAGAACGGAGGGCCTGTCTAGTCCTTCGGGTGAGACGAAAAACCGAGGTCCCGTGTATACATTGGAATGCACGTAAAAGATCCCTTGGCAGTTGGAATTCGATATAAGAGTTGGCAATAGTGCCGCTGCCCGTGCAAAATTTTCCTTACAGCACACTGTATGGCGTATGCTCGTCTTCATTAGCCCAGTATAGGAGCAGAACAGTAGGACGTTAAACCCTATTTCATTTCATTTCATTTTCTTGGATGTATCCGCGTTATGTTATAAAACCAATTTTGGCGGAAATGTTACAGTATTCCCAAAAGCATGACATCGGAGCAGCATTCCTGGGGTCTCGATCACATATCTATTAGTTTCAGATTAAATCTGTTCTAGCCCCTGGACTATTACCGCAGAAAAGTTCGAGACAGCGATCGGGCGAACTTCAATCGGCGGAGAAAGGCGACGACCTAGCGGAAAAGACCCGGGAACACGGCTATATTGTAGAATACTGAAAGTTTTTATTCTAGGACGTATTAAATATGTTAATGGGTGTAATAATACAATACAAAAAAAACAAAAAAACATTGATTATTTTAGGAGCTGTAATACGATACAAAAACAAAACTTATATTAATTCTAACGAATCTGATCTTTTATGGATTATTGAACGCGAAACAATTCATTTTCCTTACAAGGAAGCCAAGAGTTTTTCTGGTACGTATTAAAATATCATTCTATCTCTGATGCATACATTACATTACTATTTCCTTTCTGGTACATACATTACAGTACAATTTCCTTTCCGGTAGTCTGACACACACAATTCCTTACCATAGTATGATAGATACATTACACTATTTCATACACTACAGTACTATTTCCTTTCTGGCAGTATGGGACGTATTATAGTACTATTTTCTTTATAGTACATGCATAACAGTACTATTTTCTTTCTGGTACATGCATTACAGTACTATTTCCTTTCTGGTACATGCATTACAGTCCTTTCCAATGTCTGATACGTATATTACAGTCGTCCTTTTCGATTGTCTGGTACGTATATTACAGTCCTTCTCGATTGTCTGGTACGTATATAACAGTCCTTTTCGATTGTCTGGTACGTATATTACAGTCCTTTTCGATTGTCTGGTACATACATTACAGTCCTTTTCGATTGTCTGGTAGGCCTACGTATATTACAGATCTTTTCGATTGTCTGGTACGTATATTACAGTAATTTTCGATTGTCTGGTACATACATTACAGATCTTTTCGATTGTCTGGTACGTATATTACAGTACTATTTATTGTCTGATGGTCTCGTATATACAGTGCCATTTTCTTTACATTAATACACTATATACTAAAGGTGCTAAATCCCTTACTTAGTAGTTTTCATTGTATTCGAAATTAAAAACACGAATAAGAATTCAATATTTGTCAATTTTAATCATTGATATTGATATCTTGCCGTGAAAATGTGGAATCCTATTATTATATTTAAGACACAATGACATTTTAATCACTACAGGAGTCGCGTATTCTATAAAGAGAGGAAATAGTATCTATCCTACAAGACAAAGCAGGAATAATTAGTAATTAGTAATGGCTGATTCATAAAAGAAAACATAATAATAAAAACGTGTAGCATGGACAAACGAGCTATAAAATGATGGGAAATGTAATAATATTAATATAAATGATGATCATCTTATAGATTAGTGAAACATTAATTAGTTTATTAAAGATACATTATGGTAGATTAGATAAAGTGCTGACAGTTCTCGCTATAATAGTTAATAACTAGATAATGTAAAGGCAATTTTTGGAAAATTTCAGTCAAATCGTTCCACTCTGAACCGAGAATTTAGCGATTGAATTTTCGGCCTAGTCTCGATCATCATTACTAAAGTCGGTACAATAAAAACATAGTCTCGATTATCCATTTCAGGATTTAATCATGAATGAAAATTGAGCAGCAAATCAGATCCTAATCCAGTGAAGATCGCAGGCTAGCGATGACATCGAGAGTTGATTATGGTCTGGATAGGTTAATTAATGTCTAATTATTAATTTAAATAACATTTCAGGCCTGAAGAAAGAATTGCAATAGGTAGGTTTAGCTCTTACATAATGCATGTTTAATGCGTTACACAATGTGAAACACAATGCATACAATGAAATATATAGATTAGGTGGAATATAAATAAAATAACGGCAGAGTCCAGCCCATATCGACTTACCAGACACACTTATTCACAGTTCTTTAAAATTAAATCATTAAAAAAAATATAAATAATGAAATATAGTTAACAAAATACATTCAGATTAATCTTCTCCTTCGTCTTAACATGTTTAAAAAACAATTAGCAAAAATAATGTTATTATTCTTTTTTAAAATACTTACAAACAATTCTTTTGAAAATATATCCTTAACTTCCTGATTTACAGATATCTGAGTAGACACCATAGTCAATTAAAAACAAGGATTTCTTTTTCGATATGGGGTTTAGAATAGCTATATTTTTCTATAATTGATAAAGGAAGAATACCACATCCATGTTTACTTATAAAACCTCTTTGAGGTCTGGTCATGACACAAATAACATAATACTCAACTTTTAGACCGTTCTTGAAACAACCTATTTGTTTGTCAATTTATTTCCATTAATTGTATAGTTTCTATCACATTAAGGAATTCTATCACGCTGCCTCGGTAGCCTGGAGGTTGGGTGTTCAATCCCTGCATTGGCCGAGAAAGTTCATCCAGATTTTCCGGCGTGCTTGCCCCTTGTCAGTGATGCAGGACGGAGGACCTGACAAGGACAGCTGCCTATAGTCATTCGAAAAACTGAGGTCCCGCGTACACATTGGCGTGCACGTAACAGATCCCTCGACAATTGGAATTCGATATAAGAGTAGGCCGTAGTGCCGCAATCGGGGCAAAATTTCCCCCATTGCACACTGCATGACGTATGCCCGTCTTCATTAGCTCAGTTCGGAGCAGAACAGTAGGATGTTAAACCCCATTTCATTTTATTTAATTTCCTGAAATAACTGTCTTTAATTAGTAGAGTCTGACTGTAAAAGACTGCTGAAATGTTCGTCACGAAGTAGAAAAAAACAAAGTAATTGATGTCAAGAAACACATAAATTGTTTTTAATTATTGTTTGAATTTTTATACTGTATCTGTTTCGTTAATTAACATATATACCTTCGTATCATTTACCTACTTAAACGTTGATTCTAATAAGAAATGGGTTCATTGTTTTTGTACATGTAATAAATAAATACTACTACCTCTAGTGCTACCAGAATAATCCTATATTGCTATACACACAGGAAAACGTATCGCAACACTGGAATATTCATGCGCGAAAGAGAAATTTCATTATTATGTAAATAAATATATGCGCAAGGGAAGCACGAGCGTTTGTGTATTGAACATCATGTCTGGGAAATCCGCCATATAAAATATACAAATTGTTCACCAACAAACCAGCCAAGATACACCTCCCCCCACCACTCGCCATTTGCCATGTCTTTGTTTCACCGACCGCTAATCTGAAACCGCTCTCCGTAATACAATCCTTGTCCTAAAACATTGCCCGGAAGCCACGCTGGCCAACTTACCACGATGTCCCAGAATCCATCACAGCGTTCCTCGGGATTTTCCCTTTTGTCATAGCAGGACGGGAGCCAGACCAGAACTTTATTATTATATACCACTTGATACGCCAGTTTTGAACATTTTCAGTATAATATAGATCCTTAATAGACGGAATATCATTAACTTCCCACAAGTACTGTAAGCCATGACCTACCCACAATTGTTGTATATGAAAATAAAAATGTTGGGGAAAGAAACACAGTACTATGCGGTTAGCACTTTCAGTTCCATCGGAACCTCATCAGGCTTTTTATTCTCC